TCCCCCGCTTGGGCTTGGGCCTGGGCCCACTCCTCCCCCACCCCCCTCCTCCTGCCACCACCCTGTCAGGTTCAAGCCCACTCCTCCCATTCCCCCGCCACTGCTGGGTTGGCCCGGGCCTGATACTCCCCCTGCCACAGCAGGCCAACTTGTCCCCATCCTCAGGCCCAGTCCTCCCCTGCATCGGGCCTGGGCCCACTCCTCCCCCTCTCCCCCCCCCCTGCCACTTCGGCAGAGAGGGGCGGGGGCAGGCCCAGACCCCAAGCAGCAGGAGGTAAACGGAGAACAGGCCCAGACAGGAGGGGGGAAACCATGGGACTCCATCCCTGCACACCCCCGCCACCCCTGTCATTCCTGATGGACAATTGGCTAGCTTTATATACTTACCTAAAATATTTTCATGCCGCAGTAATACAGTGTTGTACAATTCAGTTTCCCGGAACCAGGATTTTTCATCTCGGGAAGAAAAGATCTTCACTGCAACATTTTCTCCTTGCCACTGCCCTCTCCAGACCTCTCCATATCGGCCTTTTCCTGGCAAAAACAAGCAATTCAGGTAATTTTGACCAGCAGTCTCTACTAATAAGAATGAACTGTAACAAGTATCCCAGGTGAAATTATCCATTTACAAATTCAATACACAACACTGCCTGCTGTGCACTGCTCACTTGCTCTCAAATGCTGCATAAATTAATGCAATTCATAAGTACATATTAACACAATATGAAGGTTGCAATACATATACACATGTATAGTTAAAGCCAACACAATCTCTCACAGTAACGTAAGGATAAGGCATCTTTCTTATACACATATCTAACTATCCATAGTGCTTGTCCACTTCTGCCACAGCTGTCTCTACTCCCTTTCCCCACACTGGTTTCTGTGCACAAACACTCTTTTTAATCTGCTCCCTGAGGACATTACACTCTTCATATTTGAATCCTGCTGAGGGCTGTTTTCTACCATAATGCCTGGCAATCATAATAAAACTCTTAGGGGCAAAGCTGAGAAGCAGAGATAAATCGGGGAGGGGGGGCAGGGGGGTGATATTGCAACCCTCCTCTGATTTCTGGTCCACCCAAAGTTTAAAAACAACTACCTGATAGTGGCAGCAGCACTTCTATTTAGGAAGCAGTGAGGGAGTCACCTGACTTCATGGCTCATTATAATCTACCTGATTCCTTCTAAACTCTTGATTCCACTGGTGTTAATGACCCCCTCTCCTTTTTTATGGTTCTGAGATTTCACTAAACAAGTTATCCCTTTTTCTTAAATCCTGCTGTCTGTTAGCTGCTCCTGGTAATGTAACTCCTATTTCACAGCCTTGCAGACTATTTTTAAGTCTATCCAAAACCCATGAACTCAAGTGAACATCAATTTTGGTGTGGAAATAACTTTCAGTACAACACTGGATGCACTATCAAGATGCTTAAGAAGGCTAAATTTTGTTGTATGAATCTGAAGAAGATGTATACTTAAATTCTAAATGACAACAGCTAAGTATAGACATTCAAAAAGCCTGAGCCTGAATTGATTCAATCTTTGCAGAATAGTCTAACCTGCATAGCTTGAACCAAGAAATAAGTGAATAGACAGACATTCACTTTTGATTCCAGAAATGAAGCTACATACCTGCAGCTAGAAATGAGCTCTCCCTTCCATAGTGGCTGGGAAACTGAAGGGCAGCTGAGCTGGGGGAGCGAGGGGCATAGCCAGGACCTGGCAGGCTGCTCAGTATGACTAGGGAAGGGTTTAAACCCCCACCCTGGCCTGCAGAGACCGTAGCCAGGGTATGTCTGGAGGAGGAAGCAGCCCTGCCAGTCTTGTCCCTGAGCAGTGGTGGGGAGTGGCTAGCTGGCAGCCCAGGCAGCGCCTCAGGTGAAGGGGGGAAGAGAAAGGGGAATTAAACCCCCCGTCTCCCTACACACACTGGCATGGAGTCTGTCCGGCTTTTACCCCTGCTCGTGGCTCAGCACCACCCGAGACCCCCAAGAACCTCCTTCCCAGCCAGGGAGAAATCCCTCTGTGCCTTCCCAGCCCAGGGTGGGGGTTTTGCCTGAGGCAGCCCAGGAGAAATGGCCAGATCAGGGGGAGAAAGTGGAGTGAAACCAGCCCCAAGCCCAGATGGAGGCATGCACAGAGCAGAGCAGAAAGAGATTGCAGTGACTGCATCTCCTGGACATGAGCCCTGCTGAGAAAAGGGACCCAGGCTACAGGGGCAGGTACAGGAGACGGGGAAAGGGCTCAGGTGTGTGTCCATGCAGCTGGGGGAGCAGCTCCTGCATGGCGGCCCATTCACCTGCTGGAGAGGAGTGCCCAGGCTGACCCTGGACCCGGCCCTTGCAGTGACATGCATGGCATGGGCTTGCCCCAGCAGCTCCTGGAGCTGACCAAGGGCACCAAGAAGCTGGGCAGCACGATGATGGAGGCTGAGCCAGGCCAGGCACTGAGCTCCTTAACGGTCTCCAAAGAGAACAACCGCAAGAGCTCACCAGGCAGCAAGGAGCAGCTGGCCAAGCCCAATTCCCAATTTTTAGTTAAAAATATTAACCCCAAATCCACATTTTTCCATGATTAAAATGAAACACCTCTGTCGAAAGAGAGAGAGGGGGGTCATTTAAAAATCACAGAAAATGTGGATTTGGGGTTACCTTAAATCCCAAAATTAGGGATTTTTTTTTAAATTTGAAGAAAACCAAGATCCGTGCTTATCACCGTCATCTCCAACTCTCTTCCCCTTCTATGTCCTTGCCTCTACTTTAGTCACCCTCTCCCTCCCCACTGCCCACTCCCATCTTCTTCAGGGCCCTGATTCTTATTTCCCCCCATCCACCCTCCTGCTTCCACTCCCATCCCTACAAAGCTCTTTGATTTTTATTACACAGTTCAGGCTACAGACTGTAGAGAGACCATCGCTATAGAACAAGCAAAGTTGCTACTTCTGATATATGTAAGGAAGCAGTAGGGGAGGTAGAAAGACAACTCAACCTCCAACATTAGCAGCCTTTTGTCCCCAATTTTCCTCCAATTCAGGCTTCACTGATGTTTTAATCAGTGCCAAGACCAAGAGGGATATAATCCACTGGTATTTAGAACACCCCCTGGAATTCTGCAACATATCACACCCAGCATTTTGAAATTAGAGCATTACAAACACCCAGGAATGCCACCACCCTTATAGAGCCACTTCACTCAGCCAATAAAAAGCAACATGCTTAGCGTACAGGACACATTTTTCTATTTTTAATTCTTAGGATAAATGAATTATCATTACAGTTAATGCTAAAAATATGAATATCCCAAATGTAGAAGGAAAATATCTTGGGGAACTGGGCTTTTAAAAATATACATCCAACATATGAAGAGAACTGATTGGCTGAGGAATTGTTCAGAATTTCTGTAGAACACCAAAATGGTACCCAAACAACTTGTGTACTGGAAGCAGAAATTTGCCCACACGATCTGCTCAGGACAATGCATCAAGCCATTCATAAATCAACAGTGAAGCACAGCCCACATGCCAGGCTTCTGACTGCTAGCTGTTTAAAATCCGTAGCCTTAATCTCAGTGCAATACAACCTGTTGACTTTGGCAACTACCCATCTCTGAATTCTGTCCTCCATTCCTACACTGTTTATGGCTCTTTTCTGGCACATACGAATCAACTGCAAGTGTATTCAAGTGAAAACAGATTAAGGCCTGGTTTATTGATAGTTATTTTGGTTAGGGGATCATTTTTAAAATTACTAAAACTCTTTACCACCTTAAAGAGAATAGTTAGAATAGTATAAGTCACCTTTAATGTTGATACAACTGTACTCATAATCAAACCAATCATTTCTGGAATCAAAACTGGTTTTAGATAAATCCTGTGGTATCAGAAAGAAGCTAACTAACCAACTTCTGGATCTTCATTAGGCAGCTAATGAATACAGGAATCCAATTCGGTCTTAGACAGTTGAATTTAATTTATTAGGTCCCAGCTAATCTGCATAGCCAGTGCTAAATACAAAAAGAAGGCCCCAGAACTGTCTGTCTGCTGGTGCAGGGAATGAATAACCTCATTTATTTTCTTCTTGTTCTAGTTCTTATTGAGGTCCCCTAGCTACTACAGTACAGCAGCCAATGAAGTAAAAATCTAAAATAACAAAAAGATAGGGGAGACTGATTCAGATCTAGTCACAGATTTATAAATTTTAAGGCCCAGAAGACCATCATGAACATCTAAATCTGACATACCACATATACACAGGCCACAGAATTTCCTGTTTTCTTCTTTTGCTGTAGAGAAGGAAAACAAATAAATTTAGCTTCTAGTTTTCTTTTTAAGCACAAAGGAGGAACATTAGGATCACTTACTGAAAGGAAAGACAATATTTTAATGTTCTGCTTTTTAAATATACATATTAGTATTTAAACTCAAAACATGAGTACCATTTTTAAAAAGCAGAACATTAAAATATTGTCTTTCCTTTTAGCAAGTGATCTTAATGTTCCTCCTTTGTGCTTAAAAAGAAAACATATATATATAAAACAATAGGGAATTTTGCTACTGTCCTGGATAGTAACCAAAAGGAAAACATATCACATCTGTAGGGCTCCATGAGCTCTATAATTTGCTGTATTCTTGTGTTCAGAATATTTTACCTACCCTAGTTAAAAAAAAACCTTGAATTTCAGGTAATGACCTACCATCCTCATCGGAACATGATCTCTGAGTTCCTCTATAGAAATACTGGTACCAGATAAATCACTACATGCAGAACTAGATGTTTCAGATGTGGACATCTGCTAAAAGCAGATTTAACAGATTCCCACTAAAATTAGACACCAAAAAAGTGCTGCATTAAACTGCCCACTTGTTTTCACTTTGGAATTCAGGAGTGAGTGAGTGTTGGGATGGGAAAGAGCTCTGGCATGAAGAGTCAAAGAAGTAGGTCACAGACTGTTGTGGTAGGAGGAAGTACAGAGACAAAGCAACAAGGCCTCTGCAGGTGGATTATAAAGGAGAGAGGGAGGAGAGGGGCAAAGGGACTCAATACAGCTGTGCGACCTAGCAGGGCTGGGACTTTTGGCACCCTGCACCTAGCTAACTATATGACATGACATCCCATCAACTGATGAGGTCTGTGGTGGGGAAGGGGACAGAAAGGGGCTAACTAAGCTTTCTATAGTCTAAGGGGTATAATATCCCTGTTATGCTAGATACAGCCCCACTGACATAAGAGTTGTTTTTATGTGCCGTTCCAGCGGCTTACAGAATTAAGGATGAGAATGTTAAAATCAAAGGCAGAATGGCACTGGGACAAGCAATCCCACCTGGCCCAGAGTCCAGACCCCTCTATCCTCAGGAAACCATTTTCCCAAAAAACAAACAGATTATTTAGGGTAACAACTCTTAATCTTCATATGGCACCACAAAGCCAATTATGCTGTTATGATAAATTAATTAAACCTCAGCACCTTCCCTGAGAAAAACAGTATCCTGTTTTTACAGATGAGAAAACAAGGCAGAGAGAGGTATGGTGACTCAGCCAAGTCAAAGCCAAGATTTTAATGCCACAGTTCAGACTCTGGGGATGCTCCTGGCACCAGCTTAAAAGGGCTGGAATTGCATATATTAGCACTAGATGGCCCCTACACAACCGTATGAGAATTCCTTAGTGCAGAAAGTGTCATAGGCAACTGTAAGGCTGAGGACCCTATTGTAAATTCTAGTTTAGATTTGCTAATGATGGGCTACAGTGAAGAGCGCCGTAGTTATTATAGCTAATTGCCTGACGTGTCCCAGCTAGAGTTATACTGGAGGCCTGCTAACCCCTGGAGCTGCTCTGGATCAGGCAGGCACCAAAAGATATCAAGAACTGCCTAGCCTCCTTTCTTCTGGCTCTGCAAATTCCCTGTTGGGACCCCTACAGGAATATCACAGAGTTTCAGCCCAGCTCCCTTGTTCACAAACATGGGCCACACACTTCCATAGTTCTGGAAGGCTCTCGTTTCTGTAACAATATTACTCCATTCTCTCCCCTTTCACCTTACTGGCCTGCCCTGCTCTTGCAACCAGAAAGAAAGGCAAAATTTACAAGCATCAGGGGTTAAGATGGGGTGGGGCAATTATTTGGGACTGTGGGTCACATAGGGAGTTTTGGAAAACTGTTGTGGGATGGGTCAGCACCCCTCCCCCCCACAACAACTTACCAAACCTCCTTATGTGGGACGGGGACAGGTGGGAGCTGGTGTGGGCATGAGACAGCCTCAGCACGGCCACCACCAGTGCTGCCTCCACGCCACCCTTCTACCCAAGGAGGGCCTGCTCCCCAGATGGTGATGGTGCCCCAAGTGCAGATGGAAGCATCTGGGCAGAAGATACTACTGGGCACCAAGAAAAAGTGGGACCTGGCAGTGGACACAGCCACCTCCCCCTCATTGCTGCAGGGGTCTTCTTGCTGTGACTGCTCCACTCAGGGGGGACAGGGTCCCTGCAGCACCCACTCCAGACCCACCTGCCCAGGCTACAATGAGCAAGGGCAGCTGGGCAGAAGCTGATGCTGAATGCAGGAAAAAAGTGGGACCTAATGGTGGGTGCAGCTGCCTCCCCTTGCTGCTGCTGGGCCCTTCTTGCTGCTGCCACCACCCAGAGCCCATACCAGGGCTGCCCTGTGGCTCCTACCCACCTTGCCCCACTGAATGCAGGAGCCCAGGACAGCCAAGAAGCAGCACTGGTGGCAGCAGTGCCATGAAGGAGCTGCAGGGCAGCCCCAGCATGGGCTCCAGGCAGTGCCAGCAAGAAGGGTCTGCAATAGCAAGGGGGAGGCAGCTGCACCTGCCACCAGGTCCCACTTCTTTTCATGTGCCCAGCAGCAGCTTCTGCCCGGACACTTCCAGAGCCGCTCATCATGGCCAGGGCAGGAGGGTCCAGAGCAAGCGCTCCAGGAACCCCAACCCCCCTGCGTGGGGTGGGCTGGGACTGCACGCTTGGCCTAGGGTTTGGGCCCACCCACGCGTGTCCTGGCTGGTCTCCATGAGGCTTGAGCCAGGGCCAGCAGCAGCTAGAAGCCACCACCATCAGGGCTGCCAGAAGCTGGAGTCCAGCTATAGAGCTGCCCCAGCCCTGCTGCATGCCTGTGGGCAGCAGGATGTGCCACGGGTCAGATGGCACCTGGGCCAGGCACAACTGAGGGACCCACCATGGGCTGGATAAAATCTCTGTGGGCCAGATTTTGTCTACCACTGGGCTAAGATCAGTTCAGAGACCTGTGTACTTGTTGACTACAAAATACTGTCTGCTGGCAAGACAGAACTAAAAGACTGTTGAAGGGAAGAAAAAAAAAAAAGAACTTTTTCTAATTCAAGCAATCAAGTAGAATTAAGAGGTCTAATAAATTACTTAGATGCCTTCAAGTTTAACACCAAAACTTTTTAAATACTTGCCCTCTAACCCTTGTATGTAACAGCTCAGTGTTTAAGAGTATTCCCAAATATAGAGGAGACACGTATTCAACTGGCTCCTTAGCTGGTGGAGATTCAAACCCAGATCTTTCACATCCCAGTGGCATACCTAACCCACCACCCATGAGGAGGGGGATGTCCATCTTCTAGTTGCTAGGTGACCTTATACATGCACTAGGTATTATGCCATTCAGACTTGAGGGTAGATGAGCAACTCTAGACACTTAGTCACAAAGTAGGCACCTCCCAATGGTGGGCAGAGTTTAGGCATGTCTAGGGCTAGGCAGGATTTGTTCAGACAGTTTCAGGATCTCAGTTTTGGACTTCAGTGCCTACATTTCTACCCAAGTTTCACTTCAGGGGCACAGATCTTTTTTTTGGATCTGGCTCATCGTGGCTCAGTTTCACATGCAAAGATTAAGCTGAAAGCCAAAATGCATTTTTTAAAGTTAAGACTATTTCAATGTTTAGCATACAAAATCTGAATCATAATGTTCTACAAAGAGAAACTAAGATAAAACTAAACCAAGCATTTATGCAGTGTTAAATTTAACAAATTAGCTGAAGAGTTAGGAAAAGATAATACCAATGTTATTCCTCTCTGCAAAAGCCTCAATATGGGGCATCAGCTATTCAAATAAAATGTATGAAATGAAAGAACAACAGCTGAATTGCAAACCAGGAACTCCTAACTCCCTGTTCCAGGGAGCAAATTGCAACATGACACAGACAAGTTAAGCTATAAAAGCTGAAAAATTTAGAATTCTTCTGTAGTTACTGCTCAACTATTTTGGTATGCAAGAAATTGCAAATTTGTAGAATTAAAATTAAGGGTGCACTGATACAGATTTTGGGGGTTGATACCGATAGCAGGGTGGAAGGGGGTTGCAGCTGTGGGCTGGGGCCACACCGGGCTCTTCTTGGCACATAGCAGTGGTTGAGCCAGGGCTGTGCTCAGGGCAGGCTGGGGCAGCACTGGGAGAGGATTATGGTGGGGGGGCTGCAGCCACCCCAAATTTTGCCCTAGCCCCCTCATAGCCCCCTCCCAGCACCACTGCCACCCGCGCCGAGCACAGCCCCCACACACCAAGGAGAGCTGAGTGCAGCCCCAGCCAGTCTGCATCTGCAGCTCACCCCATCCCCCTGCACAGATTTGGGAGCACATGCCCCATCCCATACCCTCCTGGGATGCACGCAGCAGCAGGAGCTGCTCCACACCCTGGGACAAGCTGCAGCTCTGTCCTGCACCATGGCTGTGAAGTGTCTGCTCCAGCCCCTGCCCCACTCTCTCCTTCACCACGAGCAGCCTTGATCTGCCCCCCACACACTTTCCCTCCCCCCTCCCCTTCTACCACACCAGACTTACCAGCTGCATGCAGCTCTCCAAGCTGCCAGGCTATGCTCCTTGCTGCCTACGTGCTGCACTGCAGCTGTGCACATGCACAGGCATTTATCAACCAAATTATCAGCCACACCAGGCCAATTTCCAATATGATAAATTTTCTTTATATTGGCGCCAATCTGATATCGGACTGACATATCGGTGCACCTCTAATTAAAATGTTTTCTCTCACATCAAATGAAGGGGTGGCTATTGTGAGGCAAGCTTCTAAAATACTGCGTGTTAGAATGAACTTTAAACTGAATGGAGCAGCATTAAAGCAGGAGCTGCTTTGCTGCATTTGTATCATTCCCAGCTTGTCCACAATACAACTATTAGAACATAGCAGCTGCTCCCCAGCTTGGAGCAAGCGTGCCCCCATATTCCCACCCCTTTTGAAACAGCTCCAAACCTATGTAATTTTTGAGTTTTTGACTTTCTGATGCCAGACAGTCATGACCTCTATTAAAAATGCAAATTAAAAATTAAACTACTGGGCTTAACATCACCAACGTTTACTAACTTAAATTAGCCCATCTAACAGCCAAATAACTCTACTTACTAAATTGAACACCTGCACAAGAAATTTCTGCTTCACACATTAACAATTTCAAACCCTACAAACCTGACAAAAATGAGTTTAACTTGATTTCCTTCACATCTAATTTGCTTGACTTTCAAGGTGATCAGCAGAATTAGCCAAGTTTGAACTTTCTAGCTTCAGCTGATTGATCTAAGATAAAGTTTCTCCCAAATTCTGTTGTAATGAGTATATTCATCATCTCTCAAACATTGGTTTGAAGTGAATCTTTCATCAACCTTTCTTGAAAAAAAAAAAAAAAAAATTCCCCAGAGGGCTGAAGCTGGAAAATTCTACCCAGAAGATTAAGCTCAACTGAGAAAGAAGAGGGATGTTTAGAAGAGAAGCTGTGGCTCACTCAGCACAGCATATAGCTACAAGGCTTCATGAGAAATACAAACAAGAGCTTTACTGACCTACACATTCTACAAGTGTAATCTGACGAGCCACTGTTCTTTGCACCAGGAAAGGAAGACCAGAGCCACTGCCAGATGTACAGGAATGATCCAGTAAGTCCTGTTTAAATGGAAAACAAGAAGAGAAACAATTGAGAAACAATGGACATGTATGTATGTATTCATGAAACACACACACTTCTTACTTATTTATCAGTTATTATTTATAAAAGAGTAGCATTGTGACCATGGTCTGATAACCATAGTACAGAAGTAGACAGATTCCTGAGGAGCTTGCATTCCAAGATAACAAGTTACACTTAAGGGGCATTTACTAATGAACATGCACATTTCCCACGGGACAAATACTAGCAGCACACATTTACGCCACTGCTATTTGTTCCCAGGCACACCCCTACACGCACGCCCTAGCGCACAGCAAAACGATACAGGTGGAGTAGGTCCTGAGGGCCTCCTAGGGCAGCAGCAGTGCCAAGCCAGCCACTGGCCAGCCAGGCTCCTTTTCTGGTGATGCACACTGCTGCCACATGCACCACACCACTATTTTCAGCAGCATGTTTTTTGGAGTTTTTTTTTTACACTGGGATCCTCCCAGTGTCAACAAAAAAAAACACAAAACTGCTGCACTACAAATTAGCAGCATGGTGCACAGGTGCACGTGCCACATGCAGTTTGTGGCGCATCAAAGCAGTCTGAGGTGCCACAAACTGCACATGCACGCTTGTCAGGACATACCCAAGAAGGGAAAGGGACAATACAAACTATATACAGCTATTTTCTACTGCAACCCTTGGTGTGGGAATACAGAAGAAAACAAAAACAAAAAAGCTCAAAATTCTCTATAGTCGATATATTCAATTTTAACATTGTTATTCTATCGCTACTTCTTCAGTTGGAAGTTGCACCCACTGCATTGTTTTCCTCTAAATGACCTTTTTTCTTGTATTTGAAAAAGTGAGCAACATTTATTATGAGCTGTACTGCTGGCCTTGGGGAGCTGCCAATAGCATGCTAGATACTCTCTGTTATAAAATTCCACTCAAATTCTTTTAATGCCCTGTCCTGTCTTAGCTTAGCTTTTGTTCCCTTAATCCTTTATTTGTCACCATCTCAAATAACCTTTTATCCACTTCCTGCTTTAGAACACTCTGTCTCATAGGAGGATTTCCTTCTAAAGGGTACAAATTTCACTTCTCAGGCTGTTACCAAATTTAAGATTCTTCAGGCCCTGTACACTTACTAGAAAGTAAAAATACAGCATTTACTTTTAAAAGAGAAACCCTTTGCTCTGTACCTTTTCATTAAAGATTACCAGAACAGCACAGTGCTGTAAATGTCACTTGACTAATCAGAGATAGGACACCTCCCCATAAGTAATTATTGTTGTCTCATATCACAGATCAAAATTTGTTTTATGAATCCCTTATGTTTTGAAAGAGAGATTTAGAACCTGGATTTTTTTCCATGCAAAGCTTTTTTTAAACTATTCAGAATTGAAGAGATCAAAAGGTAAAATGCACATTTAAACCTGAACATTTAAACTCTGAAACTTCTTATTCTTGTTCCCTAGCATTGGAAACTTTGAGTATTCCACCAGGTGGCAGCACTTGAACACTCCAATATGACATTTATCTGTCTTAAGAAAGAACTAACTTTCAGAAACAAAATGAACACAAACACAATGCCCACCCCCTCCCGCCAAAAAAACCCCCACAAAAAACCAAACCAACCCCAAAAACAAAACAAAAAACCCTGAAAACAAAACAAAAAAATGCAGCAAACAAACGAGCAC